AGACGCTCTGCAACGACTTTACATCTCTTATAGAGAGCCCTTAGCCGGTCGTTGATGTGGAGTCCTTTCTGGCAATGCTGACAATTGATGACCTCTGCACGATGCTCTGCGTTTGTTACGACCCTCGACATCATCTCTTTTGCGAAAGAAATAAGGTGGGATATGCGGTCCGCCACAAGCCTAGCCATTTGTCGTTTATTAGTACTTGCCACGAACTGTTCAAATATTTTCGTGGTCATAGGCACTGCGAACTCTGCATTGCTTGTCGACGGTGCTTTGCTGGCGAGGACGCAAGGAAAATTGTGTCGAATTTCATGACATCGAGAGATGTTGATATCTTTGCAGTCTAGCAACAAGTGTGCCGGTGCCTCACAGACACTTTGACCTGCGTCGTTGTTGCACATCAGCATAGTGAGATCGACCTCCCTGCTAGCGTTCGTGGCTTGCTCATTGTGCACCTCATTGGTTTCTACGGGGTTCGGCGTTACAGACAATTGTCCGGATGCCAGACGACCTCTGATGTGCTGAAGAGAACATACAATATCGGCGCAGCTGTTCAGCAGAGTCCGTACGTTCCCATTAAGGCCATCGCATCCCGTATGTGCGCCGTCGGTCTGCGGCCGATGGTTGAGAGTGTAGTGCTCTACGGTCTCCGTGCAATGACGGATGCAGTCCTCGGCAAAAGACAAAAGATCTACAAGACTTTTCGACCACTCTGTCAGCGGACCTCTGTCCAGTTCCTGACTATCGTAAGACCCCCACCCTTCCCTGACCACACATTTGTCAGCAGAGGAACAACATGTGACATCCCATTCACAAGCGTTTTGTGTTGTGCCACGGAACGAATTGTCGATGAGACTAAGCAGATTTTTTCGATAGCATTTGAGATTCGCAACCATACTCTGGTAATCCTCTAACGTGCAATTTTTTGAGTCCGCCATTTTTTTAAATTGTTCGATCATGCCCTCCCTCAGATCCGTCACAAGCGACTTCGGATCGGGCAGCAACAACCAGAATATGCTATACTGCATACTTTCCGCAGTTTCTGTCATTTCCACGAGTGCAAGTTCCACACGACCTATCTCATCTCGCGCCTGGGTGACCAACTGTTTCTGCTCGATCAGTTCAGCTGTCAGTTTGTCTATAACTTCTTGCTGCTTTTCTACTATCTCAGCCCAACTCTCATCGATTAAAGYCTGTGTTTCATCKTTGCCTTCCCACGGTGCATATACATCTGGAGATCGATCGCACTCTGTCTCTTCTCCTGCCTTTCGTTTCTCTCCGACTTCCAATATTCTTGATATCTGAAAAGGCGGAAAGAAAGAGACGCACAGAGATATAGATAGATAGATAAATATACATATACATATATATATATACATATATAGATAGATAGATAGATAAATATACATATACATATATATATATATATATACATATATATATACATAAATATATACACATATATATATATACTCACACACACACACACAGAGGTTGACTACTGCGCGGCAGAATGATGTTATTCAGTAACGTTCGACCGTATTATGGCACGCAGTAGTCTACCGAGGAAGTCGCACGGTGAGGCAGTGGTTGAACCCGTCAAAACTTGGAAACATGATCATAACTACAATTAAGCTCACACTTCGGGCATGTRTACCTAAGCACCCCCTCGAATACAACACATCCCCACCAAACCCCAAAGTTCGGATGCATATATTCACGATTCCCCTCGCTTCGTGGCACGGGGCCTCCAACCAGGAGAGCAAATGAAAATGACGAAGAAGAAAAAGAAGAAGAAGAAAAAGAAGAA